TAGATAGTCATATTTAGTCTATTTTATAGTATTAAGTTATCTTATAGGCTGCTTGGCCAAGGATGATGTAGGCGTTGCCTAATCTGCCATCACCGTCCTCACTGGAGATAGCTCTGGTTATGCAAGAACCTGAGAGATAGGAGGGATAGCTTCCTCTTGTCAGGTTTGCCAATGATTGGTAGTGAGGATGGGGTGTGGCATTGCCTCAGTTGGTGTAGTGGTGGTCATTGTAGGGAGGGTAGTAATTGGATTTGAGTTGGGCGACACGGGTATATTTAGTTTCCTTTGTCGGACGTTTAAGGGCCTGTGTGTCTAGGTGGTTGTATATGTGGGTAGTGTGTACGTAGCGTTGGTGTTGGTGTTTTTGGCTAGTAGCGGTATCAGGCTGTTAGGTAGATTGGTCGGGATATGTTCGTTCGGGTAATCGAGTAGGGATCGTTCGATAAGTTCGAGGATAGAGGTTCATCGTTCGAGGATAGAGGTTAGTTCGAGGATAGAGGTCATCGTTCGAGATAGAGGTTCGTCTCGCTCGGAGGTAGAGGTGCGGCGTTCGTCGAGCCGTTCGATAGAGGTGGTCGTGCCGTTCGATCGATAGAGGTGCGGGCGTTGTGAGCCGTTCGCGATATGCGGCCGTCGTCGATAGAGGTTGCGTTGCTGAGCGATAGAGGTTCGTCGTCGAGTGGGGGCCGTCGATCGATAGAGGTGCGCGCTCGTTTGATAGAGGTGCGTTCGTCGATGAGGTATTCGTTCGATAGCAGGTGCAATGGGGTCAGCTCGTTCGAGCGATTAGAGGTTCGTTCGTGCCGTTCGTTCGATCAGTGTAGCGGAGTCGTGTTGGTGGTATCGGGGTGTGGTTGTATAGAAGGATCTTTAACATCTTTGAAGAGATAAAGGTAGGATAGATGTATTACGAATGATGTTATAAGATTATGAGGAAAAGCTACTTTTTTGTCTAGATTCTGGTTGACGGTTGACCGTCAGACGGCCGGAATCAGCACAAACAAGTGGATCGTATGTCAACAGTGCAGCAGCGCAGCCATCTGTGTTTCAACCGCTACTGTACGGTACGGTAAGTCTACGGCGGAACGGATTTTTGTGAGCGTCCAGTTGCCAAGAAATGCAAAGTACTCTTTCGAGGTGGCGTCTGAAAACGCATAATAAAGCCCCTCCCCTTCAACAACACACGCCATACACCCGTGCGACACCATCCAAGATGCCAGCAAGACGCCATCCAAGATGGTCTCTAAGGCTTACAACTCCTTGCTTTGCAACCATACATGTATTAATGACGAATTCTTAGGATAGGAGGTAAGCGCCTCAAATTGATACTCTAGCTTGATCGGTATTGCTAATTGATTAACGTCCAGATATCAAAGATATTCCAGATTCAGAGTTCGGATAGCGGCAATTGGTGTCTTGCGAGAGTATACGTAGCCAAAGAATCGAATCTTTGGCATTGGTAAAGATCCTTGGGCTTACGGATTCACGGACGCTTTAGCGGTACAGTAGAACTTCTCTGTTTTCAACCAAGACGCCGTCTTGGTCCACTTAAGTGGATTGACCAATTTTGTCGACATGCCCACTTAACATAATCTTTCAACACTATTGATCGGTACGCCCCGTCCTCAAGTTCACTTTACGCCCTAAATCACCTGCTTCGACATAATGTAATCCGCATAATCAATTAATTCACCTCGAGCTTCGCAGTTCGCCGCTCCTTACAATTCCCATTTACCATTCAATCACAGTTAACCAAATGGGGAGCTCCCACCAGCCAGTCGTTCAGTCTAAAGAATGATTTCAATCGAATCGAATCACACATCCTCTTCCAACACAAGCGCTCGCTGGCCGTCGCACGCCGCTGCAAACAGGATTTTTAAAACCCAAACAGGCGCCCGACGACAATAAGCATCCAAGATAGTTAGTCTTGAAGGCTGGCAAGGTACTCCCAAGGGCTGTTATCCCCTCTTGGTCTTATAACTGGCTGAATAAACAACCTAACTGTAAAGCTTCCTCCACAGCAGAAGAAACTACTAGTAGTTTCCCTGCTTTGGCAGGCCAGTTTATTGGCAGGTAGCGCTGTTCTTCTGGTGGCTGTAGAGTCGTTCATACCGTATCCGAACCGGACCTGTACAATCGTCCGGGAGAGTAGTTTTTACCTCCGTCTATCTGCAATGTTTATTGTGTCCATGTGCTACGGTACTGTAGCTCGCTGCAACGGTGTCTTGTGTCCAGGCGGAGTATTGATTGTCTGCCCACGCGCAATCGAATAAGATTAATGGAACGTTCCTTGATGTTGGCGTACTGGTACTGACTACCGGTTCATGCAGTCCATGGAGGTGAGATTGAAGCAAGGTGCGCCAGCAGAGTGCAAGTGCAATGTCGTCGCATCGAAATCGGAGCCTGCGCCTTTGGAAGGTTTCCCCAATAACGTACCGGACTGCATGGATGCATCACTGTGATTGCCGGTGATTCCGGCATACAAATTCACTGTCCTCCATCAAAGGGAATACTTCAGTTGTACAAGTACTTGTACTAGCTGTTTGTACCAGTTATTGCAGCCCACATGTGCCTTTTCAACCCGCGTACGTCGTTTACTAACTCAGACAGCCTCGAATCAACAAAAAGCAAATGTATCCTTTCATCCTGCACCAAACTTTCACTCCACCACGACAAAGATACAACATTTACGTAGTGGCAACAGAAACTTGCATGAATTCTTCCAAGTGCACGCTGCGATCGAGTGATCGAGGTTTGCTCTATGCCGCAAAATCGTCAAGATGTGCGTCCACCGCCAAGCAGACCCAATCAGTCAAGCGGACACGCCGCAAGCTCTTCGAAATGAACGAAACAATCTCTGGCTTCAGCGCAATACAAGCTCTTTGTACCAAGCTCCAAGAGACCTTGTAAGACGTGGCTTGCAGCGAAAACAAGGAAGCACGGAGGAGAACGAACCAAGGCGCTACCCCGGGACGAGAGGGTTCTACGTAGGAACGAGCAACTCCTAGTTGCCTCACAGAGAAGTACAAGCGTCCTATCCAGGACACGGTGCTGAAAAATCTGGAAAAAGCAAAGAGTTTAGGAGAAACGGAGGCTCTCGAAGCGGCTACATTGGTGTCGTCCTACGTGCTCATGGCTCACGAGTGAGAAGCCCCCACGAAATCGCTCCAGTGTCACCGTGTTCAACCGTCATTCTTAATGTGGCATGTCTTTATTAGATGATGCAAGACGAGCCCATCCTGAGGAAACCGGGAAGTCACAGAAGCTAAACAGAAAGTTTTGTATAAGAGCCATGTTGCTGCATCCGTTCTTGATGGTTCAAATTGCGTGTCCCTAGCCGCAATGAGGTCATGCTTTCCTGCAGACTGCAATGCGTCCATAAGCCCATCGTGACGAGGTAGATTTGTAAGTTGAGGCGCGATGCCACGTTTCATCCCTTGTGAACGTACTATCAACGTAGTTTCGTGGGCGACAGCATTCTTTGCTTCGTTTCGCTTCCTGTCCTTTCTTTAGGAGAGCTGTGGGCTTCGCGCCAGTTAAGAGTCAAGAGCATCGTGGCCTGGGGCTACGTAGAGGGAGCATGGGGTACCTGACATCACGCTATCACGCTTCTATCAATCCACAAAGCCAAACAGCTGACATCATTGTTAGCCAGAATTTCAACTTGAGCAGCTGACGATGTATGTGTCCATCCAAGCGCAATTAATTTTGCAATCGGCGCTTATCACCCACGTAGACTCACGTAGAGAGCTTTTCCAACCCTCAATACTCAATACACCCGACCTCATTGGCCGCCTGCCACATCACAATGGCGTCCTTGACCCTCGTGAGTGCCGAGCACAAGGCTCTGACGAGGATCCAGGTCATGTCCTCGACAAACCCGACGTCGGCCCGGCCTCATTCGTGCTAACTGCACTCCCAAGCATGAATTATTGCTCTAATCAAAGATGTTTTGTATGGTATAAAAGACTTCCGAAACGATGAGGATATACAAAGCTTGCTGACGTAGATATGCGGTGGATCCAAAAATAAATGAACAGCAGAGCTACTGTACTGAAACTAACTCCCCTGCACAACAACGCTTGCTACGCTACTCGAGCTTTTCGAGGCCGGGACCATCCTCTTCGTCTCAACATCCATCAACACTCACAATTTCGATTTTTGCAATCTTCGATCGCAAACATCCAAAAACAAAGATACTCATCTTCGCCTTATCGCATTCTTGCTAGTAACAAACTTTCTTATCTAATCATGGGTAAAGACATTGAAACCGGAAGCGGCGCCCCTACTGCGGGTCCCGACGTGTGGCACGTGTTGGACACCGATGCAGCCATGGAAACCTTGAAGACGTCGAGGCAGGGCTTGAGTTCTTCGAAAGCTGCTGAGTTCTTGGAGAAGTATGGCTACAATGAGCTTACTGAGAAGAAAAAGAAGACATTGTTGGAGCGCATCTGGGCTCAAGTCAACAATGTCTTGGTTGGAATTTTGGCTGTTGTTGCTGTGGTCTCTGCTGCCAAAGCTGCTACTGCCAAGTCTACCGAGGATGCCATTACCAATTGGCTTGAAGTTGCCTTGATTATCTTCGTTATCTCCCTCAATGCCTGGATTGGTATCATGCAGGAAGGTTCTGCCGAGAAGGCCGCTAACGCCCTCAAGTCGATGCTTTCCTCTGATGCTGAAGTCGTTCGTGATGGACGCAACACTGAAATCCCTGCGCGTGAACTTGTCCCTGGTGATGTTGTTGTCTTGAAGACTGGTGACCGTACCCCTGCTGATATCCGTATGATTGAGGTTAGCAACATTGCCTGTACTGAAGCTGCTTTGACCGGAGAATCCCTTCCTGTTGAGAAAGTTGTTGAAGCCCTTGAAGCCTCTAACCCTGAAGAAGTTCCTCTTGGTGACCGCAAGAACATGGCTTTCTCTGCTACTTTGGTTTCCCAAGGACGCGGTTTGGGTCTGGTTGTTGCAACTGGAGACAACACCCAGATTGGTACTATCAACGCCCTTGTGAACAATGTCGAGACAAAGAAGACTGCCGTCTTGGAACAGATTGACAACGTGTCCAAGGTCATCGCTTGCTTTGTTGTCCTCTGTGGTTTGATCACCTTCTTTGTGGCCTACTTCCATGTTGACCAACCTCCTCTCGACTCTGTTGCCATCGCCTTGGTCTGTGCTGTTGCCATGATTCCTGAAGGTCTTGCCTCCATTGTGTCCTTGACCTATGCATATGCTGTCTCCAACATGGCCAAATTGAATGCTATTGTTCGCATGCTTCCTGCTGTTGAAACCCTTGGAAGTGTCACCGTCATCTGCTCCGACAAGACTGGAACCCTCACCAAGAATGAGATGACATTGACTGCCTTCATCACTTCCAATGCTCGCTACCAATTCAACACTGACAGTACCGAAAGAGTCAGCAGCAACTTTGTTCGCAATGATGCCTTCATGGCAACCAAGAGTGGTGAAGCTGGAGGTGCCCCTATCACCAGCACTGATTCTTCCCCAGTTGCCAATGGTCAGTCTCCCAACACTGCTTTCTTCAAGAGTGCCATGGCGGGAGGTGTTCTTTGCAGCAACAGTCAGCTTGGTGTCAATGGTGGTCGTGAAGGAGAGATTGGAAACCCTACAGAGCTTGCGATTGTTCGTGCTGCCCACTTCTCTGGTGTTGAAATCGACGGAACCCGCAGCCGAAGTGCTCAGATTGCCGAGGTCCCCTTCAGCAGTGAATACAAGTTTATGGCTACTGTCCACAACCCTGTTCCCGAGGTTGACGGCCCAGGATATGATGATGACCTTATTGTCCATGTGAAGGGTGCACCTGATCGAATGGTTGCCCTGTGCTCTCACCAAGCTAAGGCAGGTCTCATGGGTGTTGAAAACATGGAGCCCATTGACCGTGACTACTGGAACAACCAAATCTCCATCTTGAGCTCGTATGGTCTTCGTGTGCTTGCTCTTACTCGTGGAACTGTTCCCAAGAGCTCTGTCAAGGCTGGAGAACAACTGAAGCCAGACTTTGTTAAGGCCAAGGGACAGTGGTTGACCATTGTTGGATTGTGCGCTATCATGGATCCTCCTCGTCCTGAGTGTGTGGATGCTATCAAGACTGCCAAGACTGCTGGAATCCGTGTTGTCATGATCACAGGAGACCACAAGGACACTGCTCTTGCCATTGGTGAAATGCTTGGATTGGTTGATGAGAAGTTCTCTGAAGCCCTCACTGGACCTGAACTTGATTCTTTCGATGACGCCCAAATGCGCAAGGCTGTCATGACCCACAATGTCTTCGCACGTGCCTCACCCCAGAACAAGATCCAGATTGTTGAAGCTCTTCAGGCCGAAAAGCAAGTCTCCTCTATGACTGGTGATGGTGTCAATGATGCTCCCGCTTTGAAGAAGGCAGATATGGGTGTGGCTATGGGCAAGGAAGGAACTGATGTTGCCCGTGAAGCTTCCGAGATGATTTTGGCCGATGATAACTTTGCCACCATTGTTGCTGCTGTCCGTGAAGGCCGTGTTGTTTGGGACAACCTCCGAAAGATCCTCTTTGTCAACACCCCCATCAACAATGCTCAAGGTCTCTCTGTCCTCTTCGGTATGGTCTTCGGAATGAAGGATACTCTCTTGACACCCATCCAAGTTCTCTACTGCAACCTTATCTGTGCTGTCACCCTTGGATTTGTCCTTGCTGTTGAGCCTGCTGAAGAGGGTATCATGCTTATGCCCCCTCGCAAGCCTGGAAAGCGCCTCATTGGACGATTCCTGCTCCTTCGTATTGTTCTCGCCACCATCACCCTTGTCGGCTTGGTTGTTGGAGCTTCTTACCTTGTTCGAGGAATTGACGGCGACAATGAAGATGGAAAGCGATATGACTTGGCCCAGATCCGTTCTCAAGCCTCCAACACTTTGACATTCTCCGCTATTTCCGTGACCCTCAGTGCTCGCTTCACCTACCTCTCTTCCTTCCATCCTCGTCTCTTTGTTGGCAATCCCTTCATGTGGTACTCCCTTTGCCCCCTCGTCTTCTTGCAGCTCATGATCACCTACATTCCTGGCCTCAACAGTGTCCTCTTTGGCATGGGCCCCATGGATGGTTACCAGTGGCTTGTTGTTGTTGTCTGCATGGCTATTACCTTCGTGGTCATGGAAACCGAGAAGTTCATCAGAAGCAACATGAAAAAGAACGGATCGGACACCGACGACAGAGAATTCGACGGTCGCTTCGATGGTTGAGAGACGTATCGATGATTCCATCGAGTTTTTGAACGCTTCTCCCTGCAAAAGCAGATATATGTTTTGTGATCCCTGTGTACATGAATGCGAATCAAGGTACAGCGTAGCCCTCTTGCACATAGCCCCTTAAAAAGATACTATAGCTACTGTTTAAAAAAAAAATTGTCTTCACACTTCGTACTGGCTTGTGCTGTCGATCGTTGGCTGTCAGTCATACGGTGCTTCGATGAGTTGGACCAGCTAAAGCTGGTTGTAGCGTGCCGTCCTGTTTACACCGTTGAAACTCCTGCTAAGGTTCTACGAAGACTGCTTTTGCTGCCATCGCAAAACCTGTCACCCCGAAGATAATGGACAAGATTTCGAGAGGACCCGCGGGAGCAATGGCAGCACCGATTGCTTGTTCGGATAACAACTTGATGTAGTGTTGGAAGAGTGACAAGACGGATCCACCGTAACTATCCCCTACTTGCCCTCCGCCAGTTGCAACACCGCGATTCACAATGGCCATCATGAGAAGGAAACTGGACGCAACTAGCAGAATGGATGCCGCCGACATGCTTAGAGAATCAGCTTCATCACCAGCGAGGACAGGGTTGATGTTCCATGGTTTCGCTTGCACCATCAAGAAGGCTCTCGTTCCGACCATCCACATGAATCCAAGCATTCCTATTCCACAGTCGTCGTCGAGGTAACCAATGACAAACAGAGGAAGAATGTTTCGTTCTTGAGTTCATTCATGCAACAACGGTTCGTCCCCGTACCGGTACTCTACTCGGATAGCTCTTACCAAAGAGAAAGTGACTGTTGGTGGCGCTCCAAGCCAAATCATACTGCAGTATCGTTGAAGCAGACGTGAATAATTTATCATACGGTACAAAAACACATCCTAAAAGATATCTCACTGCCCCTTATTACCTACCCAGTCTCTCTTGAGCAACTCCCAAACGCTGGCAGCAGGTGCCACAGCAGTTTCCGTCAGCTGGTTGACGGCCACTTTTGGCATGAAGGGAAATGCAGCAGGGAGTGAGTTCGTCATGGCCAAAATACCAACGCAAATTTACCAACCACACGATTCAATCACTCGACGTACCCGTAGACCAAATTACAGCCAAAAGTTCACTTTGGAAATGGGAAATGTGAGCAAATATGCTGCCACCATCCTCAACTGTAAGGTAGAGTACCTACCTTCCGAAACTGAAAATGGTCACAAGCAGGTACGACTTTCGCAGCATGCGATCCAAACTCTTGTGAATGATTGTCGCCAGTTCTGGCTCTTCAGTTCCTTTCTTGCCTTTCTTGCGTGGTTCAACCGCCTTGATGTGTGGTGGAGGTTGCGGGAGAGGCGAAAGAAAGCCCATTCCGATCATTGCTCCAGCTTTTTTTAAATAATCGCAAGGATACCGCATTGCATGTCCGGATACAAGAAATAAGTTAGATCTCATGACGGAAGAACAGCCTTGGACACCAGTGGAAGTACGGTTGTGGCATAGCCGCGGACAAAAAGAGCAAAAAGAATATGCACGCTCACCTAAAATACTATGAAATCGCAAGGATACCGCATTGCATGTCCGTACAAGAATGAGTTAGATCTTTGACGGAAGAACAAAAAAGGAAAGCCTTGGCCACCTTTGGAAGTGGCACGGCCGCGGACAAAAAAAGTACACGCTCACCTAGCGGGAGTCTTCATATTGTTGAACAGGGATGCCGCCGCGGGGGCATAATCCTTGAGGGCTGCTCCTGATGCCGACATGATGGCTAGCTGCAGGGTTTCACCCAATGTACAGAGGAGTCGCAGTAGCTACTCCAGTCTAGAAAGCTATGAGGACTGAGTTCTTGCTTTGTTTTGACGGATCTTTGACTTTGTATGCACTCCGTATGACACGCACTTTGGATCTTTGGTCTGGATCTTTGGCTTGACACCTTCTAAAAATCGCTTCTGCACGTGGCGGTACCGCATGCGTGATTGATTGGATTTTTGCTGATTGAATCGAATCGAATCGAATCGAATCATCGAATCATTCGATTAGATTAGAAAGAATCGGATCTTCAATCGAATCGATTTCAAGTGTCAATCGTCTGGACTGGACTGGACTCGTCACTCGACTCTGACTGTCACTCGCGTGGTACAGTCAGCCCTCTCTCTTATTTATGAGGGGGTATCCTGGACTTTGATAAATATAATGGAGGGCATAAATATAAGCGTTTTCTAGGGCCTTATTTGCTAGTAAAGTACGAATGAAGGGAGCTATCACGCTTTCGCTTGCCTGCCTTAGCAGCCCTAGCCATATTCAAAGCCCTGGAGAACCTGTCAAGATGCACAGTGGCTGCCTGGTTGATACCCAAGGCGGAGGCACTTTCCGAGAGCTTATTGAGTGCTTCTTCGGCGTCTGCAAATGAGGCAAACACATCGGCTGGTTTGGGATCAATGTCCATCGCTTCCGGTTCCTCGTCGTCAAGAACAGCTAGTTCAGCTTCGGTTGTTGTCGTGTTGAGCTCTTCAAGCTCGTCATCAATGGTTGCGGTAATGACTTCTGGCTCGTCTTCAATTTCGATCCAATTCTCTGCCATCTGCAGCACATCGTCCTCAGAGTATTTGTCGTAATCTGCAGCAAAGGTCCCTTGCAGGGCAATGGCATGTCTGGCAACATCGACCTGGGTTTCTTTGGCTTTGACTTGAAGAGCACTCATGAGATTGCACAAGTCATCAGAATCTTCCTTGCTCATTACCTTATCCTTCAAGGGGATTGAATTGGATCCAATGTTAGCATCAATGTTTGTTTCCATTTCGATGGGAAGGATGCTGGCTTTCCTCCAGCAGCGTCTGATGCCATCTTCTTTTGCATAGCGGCCATCTTTGTTCCAAATTCCATTCAAGATGTTCATCGCATCAACCAAATGGGCTTTGCCTCCAACGGCCAAGCCACGGCACCCTTTCCTCGTTTTGAGTCGTTGCTTTGCACAGGCTTCGTAGCCTCCCTCAACATCAAACAGCTCAAGCAACATGGAGAGCATAATAAACTTGTAGCCTACTTTAAGGGCTGCAATCATGCCCATGTCTGCAGGTTGGTATGTGTTAGTCATATTGGGTGGAAGGAACAAGACATGGAGCCATGAAGGTAGAACATCCCAGTTCTCCAGCTTGTGGGCACTGCAGTTGTCCAACAGGAGGATGCAATGAGCATGGCCCCAACGCTTCACATGGTGAGGAATGAACACATTTTGAATCCACCACAATGTCACCTCCTTCGTAAACCATGCATTGCTTTGGTTGGTATAGGCCATGGGTGGTTTACCATTCTCACAAAGCCTGAAACACATAGGATTTTTAGGCTTACCAACCAGGGAGAGTGGAACCTTCTTCCCATCTGCAGACGTGCAAACCATGAGTGTAATTCTCGTTTTGTCTTTCATCTGCTTGGCCCCCGCCATTTCTTTTGCCTTGTCCTTGCGGACGTAAATTCGGTTGGGGATTTTCTGGTAATACAAACCGGTTTGGTCTGCATTGTAAATGCAACCCTCGGGGACATTGTATTTCTCAATGAGGGGATGGAACTTCTTCTCCCTCCACTCCTTCATGATTGCCTGCTTCGTTGCCTCATCCATGTCACCGGCTTCTCCATGGAGAGTTACTCCAATTCGAGAGTGTCTTTTGAGACACTTCCATATCCAACCATTCGAAGCCACAAACTCTGTCTCCGGTATATTGAGCTGCTTGGCATAACCAAGAGCCTTCGCTCTCAACGTGGTATGCGACAAACCCATACCATCCTTTCCATACCGCTCAGCACGCAGATCAATGTAGGCAATTAGTTTCGCCTCCACATCCGGAAATTGGCTTGGAACCACTCGCTTTGAATCCGAAGCAACCAGAGTACCGTTGTCGTATTGTTTCAGATAATTGGAGAAGCTCTGGCGCTCCGACTGAGTGCCAGAGAACAACGAGCCGGATGCGGAAGATTCCAAGTACGCTTTGGCAGTCATCGTCTTGAACTCTCCACTGCAATACACGGCTCTTAGCCTTATTCGCGACTCGATCCTAGATAGGGTTTGAGTTCGACTCATCGACTCGATCCTAGATAGGGTTTGAGTTCGACTCATGACTTAGTCTTTCGTGAATAGTCATTGAGACAGGGTTCTCATGACCGCTAGTCATACTAGGTCGATGATTGAAACATCGCGCTAGATATTTAGCTGGCGTGGAGAGATTCCACGCTACTAGATAAAGGCTAGACGAATCTTCCACGCGTTCCGTTTTTGGATCGTGGATGAGTAGGATTGTACCGCAACCTACTCTATCACACTCTACAGTCTCCCGCGGGAGTTCAGATCTACGATCCTTTGATTTGGATCTCTCTCGTTGATTAGTTTTCATAGCTTTCTAATCCTCTCATAACTTTCATTCTCTCAAACTCAAAACACTCGAAAGATCTTTACACTAGCTTTTAGCGTAGTGCTTTTGTTAACAAACACAATAGCTTTCAGCTACCCTCAACCTATTCCTCACCATGAAAATTGCCAAAGACGCATAACCAGCTTCGAGTCCAAGCTGCGTGACAAACCAATCCTTCCTCTCATCGACCTCGATGATGAATGCGAAATCGAAGATTCTCGCTCTACCACCTACAAACTTCGCACTATTCCAGCAGATGCTAACAGCGCCAAGTACACCTTCAAGGTCCAAATCATCAATGGATCTGAGACTCCACGTCAGACCATCAAGTGGCTTGACGTATGGAGAAGGTCTTCGTCGGGCTCGCCATTGCTACGCCTGACGACAACACAACCTCCTCAGGGAGATGACCTCTAGCTCTGCCAAGAGCAGCTACGAATCTAGCTGTGTCAGGCCATCGTGAAATACGTTGGAATGCCTTGCCCCAGATTGCAGTCAACGCGATTCCTCACGCGACTACGTGGCGTGAAGACGAACCACTTTCCAAGCACGTTTCCAGGCTGCCTGGAACGGAGCAGCTACGCCTGCTTTGGACGACGCTGACATACGTTTGGCATAAATGCTGTATCGAAGCGGTCTGTCCCTACAAGGCTCTTGAAAAGCAGAAACGCTTCTGCGCCGCAAGATGCGTAAGCTGCTGATATGTCTACTCGGGCTTATGTCAACAACCTCAGTGGATGAACACCGATGAACTTCCTCGTCTACCACCTTTTGGACCCAACCAAACGTTGAACCATGACAAGTCATTGACATTGTTTTTCATGGAATTCCACGCTCGTGGATGAAGAAGATGGACGAACACGACTTCGATCCTTTCTCAGCTCCTATCGGAGAAACCATTGGATCTGCGAACGCATGGAATCCTCCGAAGACTTTGACAAGGGCGGTGATTCCAAGCAAACTCCTACGAAGAAGAAAACAACAGCAAGAAGTACAAGTCTACTCGAACAACGACCACTCTTCCAAGAACGAAGAGAAATGGTGCGACTACCACGAGTCCAGCACTCACAACATGCTGACTGCATGACTTAAGAAGCTAAGGCCAAGTCTCAGTCCTCGTCTGGCAACGATAACAAGCCAACGTACAACAAGAATAAGACTTGGAAACGCAAGTCGACGACGCCAAGACCTACACCAAGAAAGAACTCTCTGTCCTCATGAAAAAGGTTTCCAACGCTGCGTCAAGGCTGATCGCAAGAAGAAAGCGAATGCAACCATGTTGCCAAGCGAAGTCTGAAACTCCGACAAGAGGACGACTCCTCTGTTGGATCCATCAACATGATGGACAAGAAGAATGGCCGCTGTCGACAAGGCGCTTGCCGAAATCGACTTCAATCATTCGGAGGAGAGATCTCCGTCTGAGGATTAGCCAGGATTGATTCAACGGAACCATGTTCCGATTTCTATACCTAAGTTGATGAAGATATCTCACTAAATAATAAACAAGCATTTGTTTGCAATAGACTGAAGTACTACGGCAAATTGAGATAATTGCCTAGTAACTGCCCAACTAGCACTGACGATCTTTCAGCATCGTTAACTTCTTCCATGGCCAATCAACCATACAACGTCCCACACAAAGAACTCAAAACTATCGTCTATGTAATTTAACAGACGAGCGAAAGGAAACGAAAAACCGTTACACTCTGTTTCTTAACTAATATAAGAAGCATTCGGAACTTTAATTGCTCCAACTCATTGCCAAGAGTTTACTCATGAAGAATACAAGGGAGCGTCACAAACATTACGGACTGCTTCTATGAAGAAATTGAGACCCCGCACGAGTGTAAGGGCACACTCGCGATTCCTGAGTTCCACGATGATAGAATTGATCAAGTGCGGAATTTACACGTACACAAGAAGCTTGGGGGCGCGAAATGATAATAGGTCAAGAAACATTCTCTGCGATCTAAGAATCAAGTTTAGATTCCACTACCATGTCATTGGGGTGGAACCATGCATTTTCCCGGCGAAAGAGAGCAACCACCAATAGAAAGGAGAACTTCCCATTTCGGATTTGCAGCTGTCAGCGACAGTGCAAATAGTCTCAAGAAGATGCTTGATACGACATACTAACAAATAGACTTAAGGCAGATATGCCAGAGTCGAAATACCGTTAAACAAGGAGCAGCAAGAACTGCCTCCTGCCTTTTCAACCAAGTGCTTCGACCCAGATCGAGGATCACTATGGGAGGTTGCGAATGGACGACTACGAAGTAAGAACTTCGTTCCGACGCAAATCCTATTACACTAGGGCTCACCCTACTCACGGGCCCAAACCAAACCTTAAAGAGGAGGTTTGAACGTCTCTGCGAAACAGGGCACTCAAGGAAGGATGAATCGTTCCAAGATGGGCGGCACCAACTTTTATGATTCCCAAGAAAGAGAGGATCTGCACGATTTATCTCGTGATTTTCGGGAACTGAACAAAAGGTAAGCGGAAGCCTTATCCTATCCAAAAATACAGGACATGCTTTGAAACCAGATGGATTAAGTGCGCTCCAGTCTAGACCTGGACACGGGACACTACCCACATCGAGCTGTCCCTCACTCGAAGCAACACTATACCATTGCACTCCCGAAGGGAAAGCACGAGTACCAGAGGTTGCCAATGGGCCTATGTAATAGTCCCGACATCTTCCAAAAGAAGATGAAAGCACGCATTGCATGGACTAGGAAATGTCCGTGCATACATTGATGATAAACTCTATCCTAACGGACGTCGATCTCGCAGATCGCGATGAACGTAGGATGACCTTTTCCCCAAAGACTTCCGAAGTAGGGATTGAAATCAACCCCACAAGGCCTTCCTCGATAGGAGGAACTGGAGTATTGACAATTGGACTTCTCGAGAAGGAAGCCAACCCTTAAACCAAAAAAGATAATAGATGCGTATCCAGCTATCGCTCTTCCCACCAACAGGAAAGGAACTTCGGTGATTCATTGGACCAATGAACTACCAAGGGCTGCTCCAAAGACAGCAGATCGGAGTAACCATCTTTTGAAACAGACGTGGGTTACCCAGCTTCCATGGACCGGTCGTCATGCGACAGAGAAACGTGAGTCCCGCGTAGAGAGTCGAGAAGACTCTCCGGTATGAACATGGACTTCGTCGCAAGTTCACGTCGCGGTAATCGTGACCAGATCACACATCCGTTACAAAGCAAACCGGTAATACATAAGGAACGTCGCCAAACGACTTATCCAGAAAACACCAAAAGGAGAGCACGCACGTGTCCCTCATCAACACCATGTCAACGGCACTATGATGATTCATCAGTATCAGAACCGTTAATACGTCACCAACGCACAAGGTCCTTACCACACAGACCGAGATCAATAACAATGGCACTGCACGGCTCCGACATACTAGCCAATAGCGCACAGTCTACCAGACTTGGAACATAAGTATTTACACCCATACAAGGCCTGATCCCCTTGTAGGATTGCCATCTGCCGACGCACATGTCTACATCCAATCTCCGGAGAGTGCCCCGCACTTTAATTCATATGTTCTCCTGGTCCGACTGCTGTCGCACTTCTTGACCCTTGTCAGGGGGCGAATGCAATACACGTCTTAGCCTTATTCGCCACTGATCCTTAGATAGGGTTTGAGTTCGTACTCATGACGAGTCTTTCGTGAATAGTCATTGAGACAGGTTCTCATGAACCTAGTCATACTAGGTCGATGATGAAACATCGCGCTAGATATTTAGCGCGAGGAGAATTCCACGCTACTAGATAAAGGCTAGACGAATCTTCCACGCGTTCCGTTTTTGGATCGTGGAGTGAGTAGGATTGCTACCGCAACCTACTCTATCACACTTACAGTCTCCCGCGGGAGTTCAGATCTACGATCCTTGATTTGGATCTCTCTCGTTGATTAGTTTTCATAGCTTTCTAATCCTCTCATAACTTTCATTCTCTCAAACTCAAAACACTCGAAAGATCTTTACACTAGCTTTTAGCGTAGTGCACCACGGAAGCCACGGCAAGCTTTTTCCCAGTCGGCTTTGGTCTTCTTCGTATTGCGGTTAGAGCCGGCTTTCACTCCTCTCTTTGCCCCTTTCTTCGTTACGGTTGAATCGGCGTCGTTCATGTTGGTCTAGGTCGGATTGGAGCCTTTGGTATGGTTTGCGTGAAATTGTTTGGCAGCTCACAAGAATTGTTTTTGTCTGGTCAAAACCATCCTTCCAAAAATGCACGTAAGCAACCAGGGCTTGGGCTGGCACCGACGAGACAGCCTCTGAGAGGTGCGTGCAGAGGTACCGCAGAGGTGCGAGGAATCCCACGTCCATTGGATCTATATCGGCATTTTACATGCCATCTCGGTCAAATTGAAACGGTTGGAATGGATTGTGCGACGTTGTCGGGCTGCTCGAAAGATTTGTTGCTGCAGTCACGGTCACTCATGACTGCAGTCACGGTCACTCATGACTGGGGGGGGGATCTCGAGATTTAATAAATATAATAGAGGGAATAAATAAGAGATTATAAATAAGAGCGAGGGCTGACTGTACCAAACTCGCAAGGCCATTGCTCCCTGGAAAGCAAGCTGCGATCAGCACATCACCAGATCAGAGTAGTTTGGAAGCTGGTGGCAATTGCCTTGCCTGCATCTCTTCATGAAGCACTTGGAAACAAGTTTTAAACTCTAGTCATGGCTGGTTGCTGTCTCTTGCAGCAGCAACCGCCCCTTGGCTAAGGTGGCAGCCAGAATGATGGTTAGTTGTTACTCACTACATGCTCACCGAAAAATCTTGGCTGCTGCGGGCTGATGTGCCAAGCTTGAAAACATGGGTCTAGGTGTGGTCAATGGTGGGGAATCATGTTTACGTGTGACAAATGGTCTGGAAGAGGTATTCTAGTTGGAGATGCATCTTTCTTCAGGGGAGCTTGGACTCATCGTGGCTTGCGAGGAAACTGGTAGGGTCGGGAGCGACATAGGTATCTCGGTAAAGGACAAAGCAACATGCTACCGTACTCTAGAGGTAGAAATCGTCTCGTGTTATTCGTTTCTGTAAGGTCTATTGTTAGCTCTACAGTTTATTTTTACATTTGGGATAGCGGTGCAAAATGTACAGTGGGCAATGAAAGCAATCTATGCTGTCATGGCCTGCAATTGTCTCTGAGAAATTTGTGTTTTTGTCAGAGAAGCAGAGGCAGCAGAAGGAACGACGGGTGCTCCAACAAAAACTGAGGTCCCCTGCTGTTGTTTTTGACTTGACCTTTTCTGTTTGGGGTAGCAGCAAGCTTCGTCTGCTTTGCCCATTCTTCTGGCAAAAATCTTGGCGTGAATCGAGAACTTGATGGATAGCATTCGCAGCTGCTCCGTAAGCTCTGCCAATTCGTATCCACGTTCGATTGCCTCCTTTTGTGCCATGATAATGACTTTAATGGCACGAGCCCTGTGAGCTTTGCGTTCTTCATGGTGTTCCCTCGAGATAAAGCGCTCCATGCCCCTTCCGTTTCCGTTGGATTTGACAAAGTCCTTCAAGGACCTTTGTACGTTCTTGTCAGTGTCAGTGGTGGTGAAGGTATCACGGAGCAGCACGTCTTCGTTCTCGTATCTCAAGTCGCGAGCTCTTTGTCTGGTTCGATGTCTTGAAGCAGCTTGCTCTTCGCTAGTAGTCCACAAGACATCTGTCGAGTACGCCTCGTAGATCCACTGGGTGTTTCTTGCATCGTTGAAAGGGACGAAACTCACTGATCTCTTCATGGTGGCTGTTGGTTGTTGGTTGTTGGTTGGCTGTGCTTGAGTTTGATTTTCCTTTGGCGGAGGGTTCAATTTGTGTGCTTAGTTTTGGTTCCTCTCGCAAACCAACCTTGCAACACTTGATGCCCAAGATGAAAGAAATCGAATGAGGGGAGAGAATACCTTCCTCACTTCCACTACGATTACGAAAGAATTGAGAGAATATGTTTTCATCAACGTGCCCCGACACAAAAAGCCTACCGGTACTAGCTAGGCTCTGCTTTTGTGGTTCAATCCAAGCAGAGCACAACCATCCGATTTGAAAAATTTCGGGTCACCCAACTTGCAAGGAATAGCAACGAAGCAGCAATGTAGGGTTCCAAAGCAAAGCGTGTGTTGAACTTGGTATTCGTTACTGCGCCACGAGTTAGAAAGCGTCCTACTGGTAGCCCTTTCACTGTTAAAAGACAAACTGTTCATGCCTTTGCCAAGTCACACTGCGGGAGGCAGCGAATATGGATACCACTCCCCACGAAATCATGCTAGTGGCGCCTTGGCTGTGGGCCGTACCGTAGTAGTAGATACTGGCAATGTACCACAAGGATGTTGGCATTGCATTACCACCACCAGAGCCCCCACGATCGATTGAATTATTTGATCGAAAAAAGTGAGGGCAGAAAGGGTCGCATACGTGGTAAAAATGGAATGACTCTATTTGCTGTCTACTTTAAGTATGTTAAATGCAGCTGTCACTATTGCAGCTCTATTGCACTGTAAATGACTTTTTGGAAAGAACTCTAAGACTTCCAAGACATGTGTCTCATAAATCATCGCTTTAAGGCAAGGATATTATTACGAGCAGGCGAACTGGTACAAGGTGAAGTAGTGGTACTGGTACCATACCGGTACGCACAGAACCAATGCAGTACTGTACGATACCGCAAGCTCGCAGGGCACAGGGTATCAAAAGTTAATTCAGTCGATGTCTGCCAATCGTCCTTTGAACTTTAGTAAAATCATCTTGGTTCAATCACATGTTCAATCTATCCTTGCTCGTGCCTGGTATGCTACTAGCTAGCTAGTAGCTAGACGACGAGAGGTTGCAGTGGTCTAGTCAACTCAAGTAAACCAAAGAAGAAACAAATAATATACTAGCTAGCTACGCCGCACCAGTAGAAAAGAAGATGTTCTTTTTTCCAAGATGATACCCACCTTGGTCGTTTTGAGCTCGCTCATTCAAGCACGGTCGGACCAAGAACCGTTTGAGAGCCAGGTTTCACGAGATGGGATGAAGAGAAGCCAACAAGACTGCTCCAACTCAAGGCGAACTTAGCTACTTCAAACTACTATGGCTTCGGATTGAATTGGCCATCATGGACTTGGGAAGAAAATCCGAGGTGCTCTAAAGAAAATCTGAGGGCTGGGAAGAAAATTTACTTTTATTTAGTTGGTAAAATAGTAGTCTGTCCTTCGACAGTTCGTTCAGTCAAGGTATATGCAGTGCATTCATCGAGTGAGTCAAAGTTGGATTTTGACTCAGAGTATCTCGTTTGACTTGACCAGATTCTGACTTTACAGTGTCGATTTCAGTACTCTCAGACTCTGGAGAGGCCAATCGAGATACTGCTGAGCAGGATTCAAACTGGAGTCACCTCACCAAGGTGCGCATTTTCTTTGGGAAGTTCGCACCTCTTTCGGCAACCGGTACTCAAAACGGTACTGACGTACTTCTCACTTTTCAGAAGGCTCGCTTCTCACTCTTCTAACTTCAATATCGCGCACCCCTTTTATGGCAACATCTTGCGCACCCCTTTTACGGCAACAGTCAACAGTCAACACAACACAAGAGAACACAACCTCAACAATGGAGAAGCAGCCACTACAGTTGAAAGCTTTCGTTGAAAGCAACAGTGCTCCTACTAGTAGTTTATTAAATAAAGCTAGAATGGAAGGGGCTCGCATCTCTGAGTCTCAGCCAATGACAGCACAAAAGGTCGCAGAACAGGGAGCTTGGAAGCCCAACAAATAGTAGCATAAAATAGCTCATTTTTTTGTTCTTCCACGCGACTTCATTGTATTCAGTAGCCCCTCTTTCTTCAAATACTCAACGAAGTTAGCAATGGAGCTCTTGCAGTCTCCTTTGTAGTTGTAGTCGAGGATGGTGCATGCGTCGTAGTCGTCCACGTTCTCTCTTGTTGCGTAGGCACGGATTCCTTCAACGGCTTGCTTCCTCCTCGAGTAAATCTTTGCAGCGATATGCTTCCTCCATTTCGAGCCAAACACCTTGTTCCTGCCATCCACTCCTCCTAAGGGATCAGGAGAGTTGCCTTCCAGTCGACCAGTCCACTCGTCTATCAATTCCGACAAGTTGTTGAGTTGGGGCTTTAGCCTGAACTGGTCGTTTGGTACACCTGTTGGTGTTGTTGGAGGCGTGACAGCCGGAGGAGAACTGGTGCCCCTATCACCAACTTGAAGAGTGAGCATTGGAAGCTCGCCAGTTGTTTCTAGTGTTGCACCAGCCGGATCCTGCATAGGTGTATCCTCTAACTCCAGTGGCGACTCCTCTAATTCCATCATATGAGCCAGTAGCTCTAGACCAGATGGTTGTTGTTCTTCCGTGTTCTCTTCTTCAGTAGCACCGATGGACTTTCCGATCTTTACAAGCAGTGCTCCTAGTTGTTTGTCGCGTTTCAGTTGCCGGTGTTCTGCTGTCTCTATGTATTCACCCAACTTTGTAATTCCATTCGCCACAACCCTGGAAACACTGTCAACTTTCATGTCCAGTGCACTTAAAGCCTGGTTGTTAGCCGTTTGCCAGGAAGTGAGAGTTGGTACAATCTTCTCTATAGTGGCTTCCTTTGGATTTTTGGCAGTGTCCAAGGCAATACGCATCTTCTCTTTGAAGGTGGCAAAGTGCTCTGTTTTGAACACAAAGTTCAGCTCTGTAAATAGGGGGTGCTCCTCTCGATCAGCATGCTTAAGTTGCATTGCTGCAGCGTCTTGTAGAAATATTGAGTTCAGATCGATGAAGAACTTGAGGAAAGAAATCGCAGTGTGGTTCTTTCCAGGTCTTGCAGGATCTGTAACAGCATCAAACGTCTTGTACACCCACTTGCCGATAGGGGTGAGTTCCAGGAGCTCTTTTGGTGGTATAACAACTGAACGGGGGCAGAAGTAACACCCATTCTTTCCACCATACCCAGCCATTCGCCTAACTGGAGAGAGTGGCATCTTCCCACTGTAGTGCTTGTCATAACAGCCCTCAGACCAACCACCTAATTGTTGAATCTGGCTTCGCTCTTCCATGAGCAACTCAAGAATTAGAGCTCCCAGTTTCCGGCCAAGATGAAGGATCTTGGAACAGTCCAGGCCCAGTTGCTGTAAGATCCCCCGCATGTGGTTGCCATACGTATCCTTTTCCATTTCCTTGGTTCTGTCAACACCAACCTTGACGTCGGCAAGCACCTTAATGTCGAACCACTTGTCATTCTTCTCCCAGTCCTCTGTTGTAAAATCAGAGAACTCACCGGTACAGTGAAGCCGATACTGTACATAGAAAGCGAAAGCGGCAATTGGGCAGACAGTGACATCCTTATGTCTGGTGGCTCTCCCATACTGTCGCCTCCCATAAGTGGCTGTTTTGCCAATGGCAATCTGGTTAACCATAATGAAGGTGTTGTGTACGTCTCTATCTTCATCTTTTGGCACCATCAACCCAAGGAAATCACTGAACTCCGCACGATGGAGACTCTCGCATCTCAGGATGCCGCAAGTCAAGTGTAGGAAGCAGTACCTGTGGCGGAGCTGACAAGCAATGGATCTGTAGCCAGTGGCGCTGTGGCTGTGTTGCCACAGAATGGATTCGATTGCTGTGTAGTGCTCCACTATCATGTAGGGCGAGAACTCTCCATTAACTTTCTCTTTGTAGTTCTTCTTGTCTTGGATAGGCTTCCTGTTGTTGGTTTCTAGTAACACTCTAGCTTAGTAAAGGTAAAATACTGTTTTACTGTTAAGCTATTTCCAAGAAGTGATCTTTCTCCATGTATTTCTGGGATTGATTCAACTTCAAAGGATATAGTGAAGGGGGTGACCATATAGATCAGTGTAAATCCCGATGTTTAACTGAGATAGATCTTAGATTATCCCTTAACATAGTTGGGATAAGATATTTGTATTGAGGTGGTCTGTATACAACCTCACACACTCCTGCCTTGTTCATAAAGGGATACGTGGAACGAATACACTATATATATATGAGGCTGGCTTTCGTGTTGTTCTTCAAGTTCGCCGCTCCGTGGAGTGATACTTGTATGCTCTAGGTTGCTCGCCTTTCAACTCGTACCGGTTAGTGCAATGGTTGTCGATTCTTCGGTCCCGCTTCGGAGGTCTTTCTTAGCGGTGGCGAGAAGCTTGTCATCAATAGCAGTGTGACAAATCTGTAACAGTCAATGTTGACATGTTGACAGTGTCGTCATGAAATGCACACTGTGGCTACCACTCTGTGAGTGTTGCCACTCCTGTATGATCTGCTGTGGCGGTTGGTGCCTGTCACTTGATGTTGCTGTATTCGAAACTGGGAAGTTCCGATAACTTGTTGAACCGTGGACAGGTAAGTTCCGGTCACTTGGTATTGCTGTAGCTGGAAACTAGGAAGTTCCGGCTGCATTTCTCGTAGACTCAAACTGTGTCTTGACTGGCGGTGTAGACTGAACTGGACATCGATATGCCATGGTCTCAATCGCCAATGATGTGTTGGAAACATCACCATTCAGGCTTGTACTGGATTTGGAAATCAGTGAGCAGAGTCTGTGCATAGCTTGGTAGCTACCTGAGTCAGCTTGTTGTCCATTGAATGAACGTGAGCTGTCTTCTTGTTGGATGTCCAAGAAGTGTTGGATGTCTGCTGTTGTCTTTTCCAGAGAATGGAATCCTCTTCTTCCAGCTGGGGAAGCTTCTTCCTTCATCACGGCCTCCTCTTCTTTGGAATCGAATGGCTGTGACTTGTTGTACATGATTGTGTGCTTGCTTGATGTGGACCTTGGTTTGCACCTCTTGTAGATGGGTGCTGGCAACTTGTGGCGTTCCGTCGAATTTGCTTGCTTAGCGTTCATGGTGGAATGTTCCTGTGGAACTGGGACCTCTGCAGAAGATATCCGGTAGCACTGGTGTGTGGCTACCCTTGCTTGAGTAAGCTTGCTCTGCTGATAGGCTTCTGGTCGCACTTGCAATCTCATGATGTTCTCTGAGTCGATCACCGAGAGTCAATCTCTCTCTTACTGAATCGATCTCGTGGTCGCTGCTTGTGATTCGATCGTTTCTTGTCATTCGATCTGGCATGATCGTTTCTTGTCAGTCGATTGGTGTGTCAATCTGGATAGATCGATCGGAGAATTCAAAGGAAGGTTGAAAAAAGTTTGAGACTTTGGTTTTGTGGGTACAACTTTATCAATAACACTCCTGCTGTCACTGTTGGCACATCCTGTGAGGGCTGTGCAGGACTTGTACTTGTTTAGCCAAAGCTGGCTTGGTGGTGTTTGGACATTGGATGCACCTTGGGTTGCTGTGGAGCTTAGGCGGTTCCTCTAGGATTCCTGAGAATCGATAGCACTCAAAGTGTCTATCAGTGCTTGGGTAAGCAGGCTCCTACTTGTAAAGGCTTTGTAATCCAATC